TGGTGATGGGTGGGTGCTTGGGCTGGATGATCTTGAAGGTCTTTTCCAACGTTGGTGATTCTGTGATTCTGTTTATTGAACAGCCTCCAGGACTTTACGATAAAATCACTCCAAATTTAGTGCAAGAGCTCATTTAATGTATCTACCAGATTGTCTAATAAGCACAAAGTTTCACAGCAGCTCATAAGGCTTGCAACTGGAAGTTCATGGGGTATCATTGACATGTATCATATGAACTCAGACTTCTTGACTCTGGTGCAGGGGAATATTTTACTGAATGAACTGCTCTGGGCCAAATTCCACCAACCTTAGCCTCTATGCAACCCTTTAAAAATCACTAGATTGTTTACAAAATGGAAATTGAAGGACAATTTTCTGAGCCAGCATTTTAAGTAGTGTCTCTTTGTAACAAGGGTGCAAATAACAACATTGGAAAAGATATGCATCCACTGCAGTGGTGCAGTAAGTGAATTGTGGTGTGGTCCTTTGTGAGGTGAGGTTTCAGGAGTGGGATGAATGAAGCCTATAGACAAGTTAGCATGTAGTATTTCACCAAGCACATTTTCAGGTCTAGTCATCTTTCCCAATCAGTGACATTCTGTAGAGGTTACACCAACAGGAAGCAGCCCTTATCAGTGGCCCCGCTTTGCATGGAAGACATATTAATAGGATTTTTGTAGACATCGATGATCAAGGAGCAGACAGAACGTTATGAGAAAGACCTGAGAGAAGGACTAGTTCCCCACACCATTTTTTTCCCCACAGACTGTGGATTCATGCTTCGATGGCCATTAGAAGTAGGAAGTGAAATAAAACAGCAAACAAAAGTATTTGCGTAGGGAGATTGAAAGGTAGGTACGGTAACAACTAAAGAAATAAAAGCTATTTTACGAGCAGAGAGAGAAGGCAAACGTGAGTATTTCCTCCTCGGGCCCAGGGCGGGTGAGTAAATTCGAGAGGCAATAAGGACAGCCGGTAATAGCAGCGTTTTATAACAGCATTGGAACCAGCTGCGCTGCCGGCCAGCTCCTCCTACCACGGTCCCACAAAGCCCGCGTAGCCAGAACGCCCCATTAGAGGGCAGCCGTGCTCCACGGAACAGCGGCCAGCCCGCAGCTCCTGAATAAAAAATCCCCTACCGATGCTGATTTTGTTTCCTCACATAGCATCACTTCAATGAATTGATTTCCCACTCTTTCAGTATGCAAAGTTTAGGCTCTGTTTATACTGCAGTCACTCCTTCGAGCTCAGCTCATAATCCTACACACCTTGCTGGCATTGTAATATGTGGTCAAGATGCTGACAGCAATATCCTTGCACCGAGTTCACCTCCTTTTCAGAACACTGATCTCTGTTCTGCCATAGACACATGCACATCGTTCCCTCAGCTCCCTGGCTGGCAGCTAGTTTAGACATGAGCTGAGCTGGTGGCAAGCACTGCTGCATACACAAATCCTTACAGAACCTGTTATCAGCAAGAGTATAGTCCAGGCATCAAAAAACATTGCAAAATGAGCCTTTCTACCACAGAAAGTAGACTGGGAGCTGTTCCTTTAGGTTCAAGGATATGCAGTTTAAAACACTGAAAATACCTAGGGAATGCAGTAAGCTCTTTTCTAGTTATCGAGTCATGCATTAGGCCCTATGCCATCTACATTTTGCTCTTCAACAGTGAATGTTTATTGACTGAAAGAAATGAAGAGATTTTCCCAGCTGAAATTTCCATACAGTCATAGGGCTGCATGAGTAGAAGCTTTAAGGAAAGCATTTGGTATCCCGAGACTGGGAAGCCAGCAATAGTGAAAATAAACAACTGCAAGTAACCAAGGAGGTTGCAGATGCAAAGGAAAAAAGCTCACAGGGTCAGATTGGAAAAGAGAGGTTAGAGGAGGCTGGGAGGAAGGCCTACGTGCAGAGACATTTCTGGAAGTTAAAAAGAACAGAAGTGAGAGGAGAGAAAAACACTGTAGCAGAGGAAGAAATCCGAGATTTGGAAAGAAGCATGAGATTTGCATGTTTGCCAATTGCCATTTCTATGCACCATATCTTATTTCAGTAAGTGAATTGCCCATGCTATTAGTGTTACATGATCAGACTGAACACCATTCTATTTACCTGCTCTCAGTACTTATTTGGTGCTTTTAATGCTTATCTCAATTGTAGATTTACTTTCTTTTAAAGATTGGCAGTTGACTCTTCCAGAACAAAATGTTGCCTTCTCAGTTCTGAGCATAAAGGCTACTTCTGATTGTCTACAGTTGCATACTCAGTCTATTTTTTTTTTTTTTTAATAGGTTTTTCGTTTATTTCAGTTTAACCATTTCTATTTCTGTGCAAGTTACCTTCTAAAGCTCATGGGAAAAGGAACGGTGTATGTACTTTTGAGATGTCATTTGGACTTCAATGTATACAAGTTTAAGTTTGTAGGTTTTTTTCTTTTCATTCATAATTGAAATGTGCTGGCCTTTACTCCTGCAGACTCCCACAGCAATATATTTTAGTCCATTCCATCAATCTCCAATACAACCAAGAAAATTGAAAATGCAGATTTAGTCTTGAATCACTTTTCTCCCTCTACTGGACACTCACAGCTGTAATATATGAAAAAAAAGTTATGATTTGAACCTAAGTACTTCAAGTTTCATATCTCTAAATCAGAATGCTTAACATGAAACTGCCTCTTTTATTCTTGGATCTCATTAACACAAGTTTGAGTGGCTTAATCAAGTCTTTAGTGTCTGTCACACACTGTTTGTCACTCAACACAAATTACATTTTCAACTAATAAGAATGAAAAATTCCTGGCTGTTAGAATTCTAATTATGGTAAAGCTAAAGGCCGATGATGTATGGGAAGAAATGGAATTATTTCAACAGATTTGAAGCTAACTGCTTGCTGCAAGTTTTTCTCATTAGAAAAAGCACAGCAGGAACAGGATGATACTGAACTGAAATCATACGTAAACCATCTGGTGCTAGAGATGTGAATTCTACAGTACTTGAGAAACAAGTGAACAAGGTATGCAGAAGATCTGTGTGACTTACTCCAGATTAATCTGCATGTTTATTACTTAATTTCTCATTTCTTTTTTGGGCTCAACATCACATCCAGTCAAATGAACAGAAAAACTGTGTTGTGTTTAGAATGGACATGGCATTAGTAATGAAACCGACCTCACAAGTCAGCAGCACTAAGTAGAATAGCATGCCTCTTCCGTCTTCTTTCAGTCCATGACTTCCTTCTGTGCTTGACAAACATGGACTGTTCTAGAGAACAACAGAGATATATTGTTCTTGCTTCCTGTAAGGTGATGTAAGAGCAATGCTGAATGGATTAACACTGATTCTGCATTTTGTGGAAAACTACTTTATTTAGGAAAGCATTCATTGTCGTTCTGACTGGAGCAAGAAACAATAACCTACTGTATATTGCAGATTAGCAAATATTAACTTTCCCCTTTAAATTAGTCTTTCGTTTGCTCGTCATCTTCCCACCCCATTTACCCATTCCTTATCAGCAGAAGCAAATGCCAGGCGTATCTCACTGAAAATGGGAACTGATCGACGCAAACAGAGTTCCCGAAGGTACTGCGATGACTAATTTTCCCTAACAATTCCAGAATTTATCCTTGTCCTACAGAAGTTATGGAAATCAGTGATACAGGAACAGGCACCATGCTAGCAAGTTGATTAGTACCAATCAGATCCACTTTAATGGGATGGACCTATTGATATGACACAAACATTAATATTGCACAGTGCTATGTTGCTCCATGTTGCAATGAGGAGAATGTCAGTCTGCTTTCTCAGGTGGAAAGTGGTAGAACATGAGGAAACCCCATCTCAAGTTACACCAGGGGATGTTTAGATTGGACACTGGAGAAAAATTCCTTCACAGAGAGAATGGTCAAATATTGGGACGGGCTGCTCAAGAAAGTGGCGGAGTCCCTGTCTCTAAGGTCATAGAATGGCTTAGCTTAGAAGGGATCTTAAAGATGGTGAAGTTCCACCACTCCTGCCATGGGTAGGGTTAGCAGCATCCACTGAGTCAGGCTGCTCAGGGCCTCATCCATCCTGATCTTAAATGCCTCCAGGGATGGGTCATACACAGCTTCTCTGGGCAATCTGATCCAGTGCCTCACCATCCTCTGAGTAAATAATTACTTCCTAACATCTAACCTAAATCTCCCCTTTTAGCTTAGAACCATCCCCCCTGGACCTATCATAATCAGACTGTGTACAAATTCAGTCCCCCTCCTGCTTACAAGATCTCTTCAAGTACTGGAAGGCCAGAATGGGGAGCCTTTCCTTCTCCATGCTGAACAAGCCTAGCTCCCTCAGCCAGCACTTCATAGGAGTGGGGCTCCAGCACTCTGGTCATCTTCAAGGTCCTCCTCTGGACCTGCTCTGATAGCTCCGCATCTTTCTTGTGCGGAGGGCCTCAAGAGCAGAAGATGACTATAATCTCCCAGACACTGTGTCCTTGAGAGAGAAGCAACAAAAACAGTCCTTAGCTAAATAGGAAAAGCACCTCCAGCTTTCAAGGAGCACAAGACAAGGTTGTTACCCGCCACTTCATTTTATGAAAAAACAGGTTTATCTGGATCAAAACATGTCTGCTGGTGAAAGCACGCTTTTAAATCTCAGGCAAGCCGGAACCCGTTCCATCCCGGTGGCTGCCGACTAAGCAGCACCCCCAGCTCAGAGCGCTGCCAGCAACACACCAGAATACGGAGCCGGCCGGCTTTTCCAAGACCGTTAAACAGAGCGACGCAGGGTGCTGCCAGTCGTCGCCCCATCCCCACCGCGAGTCGGGAACCACACGCGGAGCGCATCCGCAACGAGCAGCAGTCCTCGCCCGGTCCCGGGCGTCCCAGCGGAGCTCCCCTCACACACCCGACACTCCATCCCAGCACACAGCCCGGCTGCCGCTGCTGCCTTATTTGTGGCCGGAGGCGGGCCCAGAAGGAGGAGCGCGGTGCGGAGCCGCCCCCACTCGAGCTGCGAGTAGAGCCGTGCAGCTGTCGCTCGACTAAATCGGGGGCGCCTGAGAGCAGTCCCACAAGTGGTTCCTGCCCGCAAGCGAGTCGGACCCGGCGGCTGAAGGAAGAGCGAACTGCCGGCTACGCAGAGGAGAAGACGGGTTGCGGGGGGCCGCTCGCCAGGTGGTCCCTACAGGTGCGGGGGAGAAGGGAGCGGCGCGCCATGGTGCGCGCGGTGGGCGCCGCGGAAGGCTGCGCTCCTCTCCTCGCTCCCAGCTGCTGGTGTTAGGCTCCGCGGGGCAGTGCCTCGCCCCGGCCCGGCCGCCGCTCTCCTCCTGCAGCTTGGCAGCAGCGTGCTGGGATCGCTCGAGGCGAAAAGACGCGGCATGGCAGCTGCCTGACCCCGGCCGCCAGAACAGAGCCCAGGACGCGCCGCGGTGGCGGCTCGGCAGGGATGAACGACGGCGGCGAGGGGACCATCAGCTTCGCGGTGCCCGGCCCTCCGGGCGGCGGCGAGGAGGGGCTCGGCCGGCGGACGCAAGGAGCCGACGGCGGCCGTGGCTTCCAGCCCGAGTTGGCCTCGCCGTGGAGCGAGGACGCGGCCGTCGCTTGCCCCGCCGCCGGCACGGGCATCGCGGCGCGGGCCAAGGGCGCCGGGCGCCGGACGGCCGTCACCTACGTGATCAACGAGGCGAGCCAGGGGCCGCTGCTGGCGGCGGAGAGCGGCGCCCTGCAGAGCCTGCGGGAGGCGTGCGAGGTGGTGGGGGCCACGCTGGAGACGCTGCACTTCGGCAAGCTGGACTTCGGCGAGACGGCTGTGCTGGACCGCTTCTACAACGCAGGTGAGACCGCGCTGCCGCGCCCTTCCTGCTGGCGCTTATCGCCTAGCCGCTTCCCGGGCCGTGCGCGCAGCTCCGGCCGAGCCGAGGCGCGGCCCCGCGCCGCCCTCCGGCGAGAGGCTCAGTCCGGGCGGGCGGCACCGGCCGCTGTCCCCTCGCTGTGCGCCGCGGCGCCGGGCTGGGCAGCGCCTTGCGAGCGGCCGCGGCTCTCACGTCGGGAAGCAAAAGTGTGTCAGATCCTCTTTCTGTCCCTCGCTGACCCCGTTAAGAGAGGAAGCTGTCAGCGAGCGCGCTGTGAGCGTGCGGCTGTTGGCGCTGCCGACACTGGTGGCTTGTGCCAGTGGGCCAGAGATGAGCTTCACCGCAGCGGAGTGCCGGGATGCACGTTTTTGCTGAAACGCTATGGGTGAAGCGGGTGGAGCTGCGAGGCCCCGGCAGCTCGGAGAAGCAGATAGGGTGTGCAGCTTCGCAGCCGTGCTGCTGGCACAGGGGTTGGTTCCGCTGCCTCTCCGTGCTGGCAAGTTTGCGCTTCGGATATTGGCTGCAATAAAACACTTAGGATGGATGATAGATTAGCGTGAGTGCCCTGCGCTGTGTCTTGTCGCCCTGCCTGCTTTCATGGCGGTAATGTGGTAACAGCCTCGTCTCAAGGCACTGTGATCTGAGCTGGTGTGTTGTGATCCACCTGAGCCCATGTTTAGAAACAAGAACTCAAAACTTCCTCTTGCTTTTAAATTTTTTAATTAGTATATATATACATAGGATAAATGTAAAATTAAAAAAAAAAAGCTTACTACTTTACTAAAGATTTCATAAGACTAAAATTATATTAATGTCCTTTTACCATTAAAAAAAGAAATACAAGCAGGAATTTGATTTGACCTGCAATTTTCAGCTTATTTCGTAGTAAACTTCTGTTTGTAAGAAATAACTCTGGCAAATGAGCACTTAAAAAAATCTGGCTGATACTGTAGCTTTGTCATCTCCTGTGGAGGAGAGTCAAAAAAAAAAAAAGAGAAGTACCTGCACTCAGGCCCTGTGAACACAGGACTGCCCAGCATGGACATGTACATGCATGCCATTTCCCTGGAACACTGAAAGCTTTGCCTCCTGAGCTGCTGTTCAGGTCCAGGAGGTGGATGGCTTTGAAGCATGAAGTCGCGTCTTGCCTTGCAGCTCTTACACAACTGTGTCTGGAGTGAAGCTCTCAAAGGTCAGAGGAGCTGTGTCACAGTTGGAAATAGGAGGGACACAGAGCTTTAGCATAGATCCCATTCTCCCCACATCCGAATGAGATACAGGACACGTGAAACCTGAGAGTCTCACCTGGTTCCTTTTCCATCCGTCACTGGAGCTGTACCACAGTGAGGCTCACAGAGCTCAATGATGTGTGATACTGCTGTACCTCCTCTGTTTGTTAATCTCTAGTCCAAGCCATACAATAGGCGGGGTCTTGGTAGCGCACAGAGGCTTTTCTTGTGATGGAGCTTGGATTCAAAGTGGGCCCCTTTTCCTTCTGGCAGTAGGCGTCTGGCGTATAGTGCTACATAGCTGCACACTTATGTCATAGAACTGCCTATTTCAATGGCTTTCGAGCAAATTCTCTGAAGGTGAAAACTTGTTCGCTCAGTGCTGTTTGGTTATGGCAATGTAACGATACTATTGCAAAACAGGAAAATTACCTTGCTCTTCTACATTGGTAGCAAAGCTGTAAATGTGTGAAAAATGAGGAGACGTCCAGCTCAGGATGTAGGAGTTTGCATCTGCTCCCAGTGTTCTGTCCTGTCCCAGCTGTGATCCAAAACTGATGCTGTGTTGAAGCTGTGAGCTGGAGCTGATGTTTAGAAGGATCTATGAGCTTTCATGCTTGTTGCATCATATATATTTAAAAATTAATTGTTCTCCAGAAACTTAAAGCTACCAAAAAAAAATGATAATAAAGTTCCTAGGCTAGGAACAGAACAGTGTTGCAATGTAAAAGCTCTGTAAGACACAAATGAGGAACCAGTGTGAGGAACAAAACTAAAATGGTTGTGAGGAGTGTAATTGTTTCACGGTTTGATTTTGTTGTTGTTTTCATTGCCTTAACTGGGCTGTGTGGGGGAAAGCATTTGTAGATGTCAGATACATGTAAAGTCCTTCCGTATTTCCCTTCTTATCCTCTCTTGCTGTGTGCTTTCAGCAATGAAAGATGTTGTTAATAAGGGTAAAAAATGTCTGCACACTTCACTGTTTTGAGAAACCGTGGTGCATTAAGATAGTTCAGCATAGCTGAATATCAAGTAAGAATTTAGCAGTAAAAATACTTTCAATTTAGGTAATGGTCAGTTGGTTTTATTCAAGGTACCAAGTTTTACCCGACTCAGTGTAAAGGCCAGTGAAGTCATGCGAGAAAGGAATGATATGATTGCATGGAGATTTGGAAAGTCAGGCTTATTGCTATGTTTACTGAAATGGGGCAACGAATCTCTCGAGTCTTGTGATTTGTACAAACTAGCTGTGCTTTGCGGGAGGAGGATGGAGGTCATAGGTGTGGTGTAACATCTCTATCCATCGTCAGGCCTTCCCTTCTTTTATGTCTTGTTTGTACTTTGTGTAATGTAGTCTGAACTCGTGGTGATCTCTGGCAGAAGCTCACTTCATGCCTTTCACTGCTTCAAAGGGAACTTCAGGAAGTATTAAATAAAATGTAATCTGAGATGTAAATACTCATCATCCCCTCTAAATTTGGATTAGCCAGCTAATAATCTTCTTCTGCTGGCTTCAGTCAACTGATGGTGCTTAAATGCTGAGACATAATTAGCAACATGTATGACCAGTGAGTAAGTCTTAGCTACATTATATTATTTGAACCAAATATTAACAGTGAGTCTATTGTAGCATTTTGCCTTACTTGACTGCAAAGAAACTGTGTTTTAAAAACAAGAAAAACCCAACCCAACAACAACAACAAAAAACTACCTCTTGAGAAGCAAACGTTGAATCAACTGTAGTAATTGCTGAAACATTTCATACATTTCCTCTTTTCAGTAATAGTAAGGGAGAAAAGGAAAATTAGTCCAATGTCTGGCAGTGCTGTGTGTCTGGGGTTGGCCAGCTGTCTCAAGGGCTGGTTTCCTCCTTAAAGTGGATACTTCTCCCAACCCCCCCCCCCCAGTTGTAAGTTGTATTGAGCTGCTGCAGTAGGATTGAAGCTGAATTGTGTGTTTCTCTTATGTTCAGCTGTATTTCTGAAGTATTAAAGAATGTTTATAGAGTCAGTTAGAGGTGCACCAATGTGTAGTAGAGAAACTATCCACTGCACTGTGTTCTGAATGTTTATGTACACTACTTTTGTTGTTAAAGGATGCTTTTTTCTCCATTGTAATGACATGATCTGCATATCCTGTTGTTTTTTATTATTCATTGCTTGGTTAATTATGAAAACTGAGCCATAAATGAGTATGAACTTACTTAAAGTTTCTTTGAGTTTACATAAACAATTCATTTTTTTTTTTCTACCATGTCTTTTTAGGCAAATGAAATTAGGATGATTTTATTTATTTATTTTTATTGGAAACTTGTCTTTGTATTTAGTTTGTAACTTTTTCTTTTTAAGAAACTCACATTGACTACTTCTGTGCATGTTTAGAGAGATCATTTGTTCAGTGTTTTCAGGTATGCACTTCTCTTCCATGTCTAATCTGTAAGTTTAGGCTACAGAGTATAGATGTAAAATTAATTTTGGGGGGTGATTTGTCAGAATTACAGTGTCTAGCATTCTGAATTCTGTGTACAGTCTCTGGACTGAGGAGAATCTGGATTTTCTAATCTCTGTGGTCATTTGTTTTAAGATGGTTTTCAAGCTAAGCAACTTGACTTGTCTCAAAATTATCTCCCTGTGTCTATGATGTTGTGTTATACAAGGGCATTTCTTTTTCCTCAGCTTCTTACGCTCAGGTTTCATGGATCAGTGGTCCATGTTACATGGTTTGTACTGACGCTGCTGTGTAGGGATATTGAGATAATTCACCATAATAGCAATGATTAACTAAAACAGAGTTCATCAAATAACAGCAAATGGATTTAGCTGATCGTTGTGTTTCTGGAACTTGGTGTTGGTGCTTTCAGAATTCATGCAGGCTTGGACTAGGGATTCTCAGTGTCAGCTCACCAGGCTTAAAAACATACTGTGCAGTATGCCTGGGGGAAGTCTTAGCAAACAGAATGAGAAAACTTTCAGAGAGCCAGTACAGTCACTGGTGTAAAGGTGAACTTTTAAGTCAACTGCATGAAACAAGAACACTTGTTTTGCAAAGAATTCCTCTTTGAAGAGGAGTGTTTGCATCAGTGTGTAACAATCACAAAACACTCAGGGAACTTGAACCAGGTGAACCTTTATACAAGGATGTTCTACACCCAGGCTCTTTTTTCATACTTTACAGAGCTTGTGTGGATAGTAAATGTTTATAAATATACAGGCACATGAAAATGAAGTAAAGCAGTAGAAGGACTATTTTTCCTTTAGGTACTCTAGATTCCATTATGTTGTTTTTAAAGTGATTTATGGCTTTACATAAGTTTCCTGGCCGTTTTGTGATTGTTACACACTGATGCAAACACTCCTCTTCAAAGAGGAATTCTTTGCAAAACAAGTGTTCTTGTTTCATGCAGTTGACTTAAATATTTTCTCCAATTAAAAATAAGAGCCAACTTGCTACCATGTGAGCTCCGTAAAGGAGCTGGAAAAGTAGGGCCACTGAGAGACAGAGTTTAACTGCAAGTTGTGTTCTATTCCACGTTGTCTCTCAGAACAGTCAGCTTCTTCCGCATCTTACTTGCTGTACTTCCTGACTATTATTTTTCTGTTTCACTTCTCTGAATTTCATCAGACACTTCAAATGTCATGTGATCGTTCTCTGATTATTCAGCACTTGCATCCATCACGTAATTTGCTGTTTGGACACTCCCCTTAGTGCTGCTGAATAACCACAACTCTATCTGCAGCATCGCGTCTGGGAAGT